AAGCATAAATAGCTTAAAAGTAATGGTGAATTAAGCATAGGCTCTTGAAAACTGTGTTCGGCTACCTTAAACACCTTAGAATCCAAGGTGCGAAAAAAGGAAAAACTTACAGATTTTTTAAAAGTTGAAGCACAGTCACCTGGAGATGAACAGGGACTCGTGGAACGAGAAGCGGAGAACAGGTTGTTAGAAGGTTGAGCTACATTGCTAACTGGGACGAGCAAAGTATGTATGTATCACGTATGGCCTAAATCTTGATCTTGGAAGTCTGCAGGAGGACTTGTAATGAAGTTTGGCTGATCTCTGTTTTATTTTTGTGCGATGCAATCAACCTTTACATGTGAACATTTGAAAGATCATCCTTTCTTGGAGACGTCGCGAGACATATATCTATTCAAGACCTTTTCACCTGAAAACTTGACCCAATAATACCGGTCGTTTGGTAACCGTGGGCAAAACAGGGTAAAGCTGAAGATTACCCCGCTTCTGTGGCACTAGGCGACTAGGAGTATTTCTACTCCACCCTGGATGGGATGCTAGATCATCACAGGGTTACCCCCCAGCATCAAATTCGCCGACACCCATTTATACAGCAGGGTAACGAGAGGCACTGTGAGAGTAAATTGTCTTGCCCAAGAACACAAGACAATGTCCCCGGCCAGGACTCGAACCAGGAACGGTCGGTCCGGAGTACAGCGCACTAAGCGTGAGGCCACCGCGCCTCCACGTCGCAAAGGACACCAAACACAAAATTACCATCGCCTTTATTTAAATATTTTTGCATTTGAATCCACAATTAATACATCTTGGACGAACAAGTTTAACATCTTCATTTAACGCCGTGAACCACAACGGTTTAACCACAAATTAATGGGGTAAATGTAAAAACTTCAACTTACTTAGCCGGACTCGAGTGGCACTTTGTGCCAGTCTCTAATTTGTTCAAGCTCATTCATAACATGATCAACAAACATCTTACATCATACTCTTATAATTTTTTTGCTTTTCAATTCGTTAACTAAATAATTTTCATCTCTTTTTTATTTAACTTTATGCAAAAAGGTATTTCTTCTAACAAACAAATTAGCTTTCTTTATCTCTTCAATGTAATGGAATTACGGTATTACATTCATGTCTGTTACGAATTTCTGTATAGATATTTTTAAGCGTTCTAATAAAAGAAATAAATGACGCCACCACCAAGACATCCACAGGAGATAAGACGGTACCCTCCAAAAACTACTCGCTTAATATACTGTTGAACCCCTTAAAAGGCGGGCATTTCAATCGTGTTTGAATTGACAGCGTGTTCAAGCTGTGCTTTCCAGGTTGTCTACATTGTTTCACTGTTCAAGCCGAACATTTCCCGGCATTCCAACTTGTCGTGGTCTTTTGAATTCTCTTCTGACGCTGGCCGGGATGGAACTGGGCAGAGGTGAGAGGGGAGGTGGCTCAGCGATGCTGTCCAATAACTTCCGTTTTGACTGCCTCGAGGTCGTGCGTGCACTGGCAGTAGGCGTGACCGGATTATTAGGGTCCTCAATGTTGGAGACATTCAATTTGCGTGACAGCGCGTGCCCGTCACATGACGTTGATTGACCGAATCCAGCTAAGCGATATTCTTGGCCGCTGAGAATTGGGCTGCCGTTTTCCTGGAAAAGAGACAGTATGGTGGAATAATAAATAATTATCTAAGATCGTGTTCTACTGGGAATATTTGAGTTGTTGCTTTCCTGTGTCAATTAAGAAGGAAACCGTTTTCGGTTGGTTTTGGCAATCAACTTTTCAGCTGGGATCGAAACTTAGCATGGTTTTAACCGATAGCACCACATTTCAAACTCAAACGGTGACAAAGGAAATTGTTCCACACTGCCAGACCTTATCCCGGTATGTTTGTACTTCACCTCGATGGGCTGCTAGTACATCGCAGGGTTACCCCCACTGGCCCAGCATCAGTGGTACCCATTTATACACTAGATTGGAAAGATGCACTGTTAGGATAGAGTGACACATCAAAGAACATAGCAACAAGACCCCAACCTAAACAGAGTTCTTCACAATAAACAGACAGACTTGAAACTTTCATGAAATCAAAGTTTTTACCTTTGGCATAAAGAGTTTTGTGAGCCTCGCAAGACGAAATGATCAACGTTAAAAGAAAAAAAAAAAAACTAAGTAAATTGTGAGGGGAAATCACATACGAAGACAACGCATCATAAACACAATCGTAGTTTTAACAAGGCTCCTACATACTCTGTCTGTGGATTCCACTGTAACCGTTACATCCGTACACTTCTTTCTCAGAGCAGAATTGTAATTTTGCCGTCCGTACGTAGGTACAGTGTTGACTTTCACGTCCACTGAAGGAGACGCTCCATTCGGGCGAAGCATGCTAGTCAAAGTCTGCTGAATGTGACACATGAAAAGGTTCATATCCTGCAAAAAATAACAATAATAATATAAATATCAGATTTTATTAATTATGAGTGTCCATGTAGTACTATGCACCCTCCAAGATGTTTCGAACAAAGTAGTTACTTCGCCAACCATTCAGAATTTCAGGCAAAACAGGGAAAATTAGACAAATCACGACCAAATGTGCGCAAAGAGAGGCACAGTACATACCGGTATACTTTGGTGCAGATTGTGCAAGGCAGTCCGTAGATGTGGTTCGCGAGGCTTTAGGGTCAGCGTTGACAGTTCAGTGAAGGTCAGGGAGGGGCACTGGATCCGGTCATCTGGTCGAACTGTTAAGTTGGTACAGCAAATGAAGCTACAAGGCTTGATCAGATCTTCTACAGCCACCGCCTGTGTTAAAGACGGCAAGAGTTAAACTTTTCACGAAAATTAGGAGGTTAAACCATAATACAGATGTAAATTGCTACAATAAAATAATAATAATAACAACAACAAAAGAACATAGAAAACCTTCAATCCTCCCCAGAACTTTATCGCTACTAAGTTGCTGTCCTCGTCTGACAGATAAACGGTCTGCATGCTGGAACTAAAAACAAATGACAGTGTACAACAAAATAAAGCCTTCTTGTACAGAATGATACGACTTGACATGGCAATTTCTGGCTCTCTGAAATCTTCGTAAGGTTACAGAACCAACATAGAGTCGAAGTGATTGAAATGGGACTCTAACTACGCGTACTACCATCAGGGTGGAGAAGGGTGCAAATGAATTATCCCCTAGACTTGATTTCACCAGAGGCACTGTTCATGCGGCTGCGTGTTGCATCGAGCCACCAAACAATATTTCAAATTCATTTCACCGTTTTATCAACTTTTGTAACCTTCTAAACTTCTAACGCCCCAAGTAAATTCCCAAACGGGTCAGGCAATCAGGACCAATCAGATGACGAGTGTGGTTAACGACGGTGAAGCATTGGAAATGGAATTGAATATGAACAAGCTTCCTAAAAGCGCCACGCTTAAGTTCAATCAAGCAACACTATTGTTAAAAAAGTATGGGTACCTGGGGCTGGAGAGGGTAGATACAGGACTGCAAAATACCACCACTCCAACTACATCGACTTCTGAAAACGACTGCAACGAACCACATCGCAACTCATCAAAAGAACCGGCCTGAGAAAGGAGAACAGTTACATAACAACACACAGACTGTCATTCAAAACACTCAACTTCGTACTAAATGGACGATTCGATTGAGGCCTTGTATTGTTTTGCATGTTTTTGCATGGATCAATTGGGCTCTCGAAAAAAAGATGAGAAATCACAAAACAGGGGGGTTAAAAACGTGGGAATTTTTTTTTTATCATTCCAATTGACTCCTAGCTTCCATAAGTGAACACTGATTCAGAAAGTAAATAACCTACACTGAGATTTAGATTTCTGTAAAGAGGGACTTGCGCTTGAATGCCAGTTGTTTAGATTTAAGGTATCAAGTACCGTTAGTCCGTGTCGTTATTTATAAAGTTTACTCCGATAGCATACCTGTCGAGGCATGTAAACCACTCTTTTGACATCTGGGTCACTGGGCAGCTCTTCGTATCTTGTCGTTCGTGTTGCTGAAAGCTTTTGTTAGTAAAACGAAGAATAAGTGTTGGTCTAAACAGCGCCAACTTTGTACGGGGCTCAGTGGAGTGAAAGCGACACATGGCACCAAACGATATTGAAACATGCAGCAAAATTACAGATTACTCATTAGATAGAACGATATATAATAAGACCCAGGCAATCTCGTGTTTTTAATGTTCTGCTAAGCACTTGCCTGTAGTTCAGAGGCACCTGGTCGGTTCCTGAAGAAACAAAAACGAACACTTTATGAGAGCACGATTGACAGACTAGGACGCACTTTACAAATAATGAATAACAAAGTGACGTTTTTCGTAATGTTGGAGAAATCCGCGCCAACAAACAAACAAAATGAAAGTGAAGAATGATCATCGCAGTAAATTTTCCAATTTAAGCAATTGGAAAGAAGAAGCCTGAAAAAAATCAGGGCTTCAACGGGANTTTTTTTCCAGGCTTCTTCTTTCCAATTGCTTAAATTGGAAAATTTACTGCGATGATCATTCTTCACTTTCATCTACAACCGCAGTTCACATATGAATTGTTTCATATATACTTCACAAACAAACAAAATGATTTGTAACCTGACACCAGCTGCTGTTAAATGATAAATTCTTAATCGGGATCCCTCGCTCAACAGATGCATCACTTCCTCGCTTGGACGCCAAATGCTTAACAATGCAGCTGAAACGACAAATGTCTATTTCAGAAATTATAACCTCGCTCGCAGTGAACTGGTCACAATAACTGATTATTGTTAAAGTGCCACTATGATCAAATTCTCGATACCCAATTTTTTACATTTTCGTACACAATAGGTCTTTTCTAGATATCTTGCCAAATTTCAATCTATTACGAACACTAGAACTCATGTTTTTTTTGGACCTTTATTTCTGAGAATTTACGCCCGCCATTAGTTTTCCTTGTTCCAAGTCTTGATTGAGAATTGAAGAAAATGACGTCATTTTCTCAAAAATACCGCACGGGTTGAAATTATAATAACAATTAGCCGCAATTCGCATTAAGAATGACAAAAACTTTGGCTCATATATTCGTACAATTTTCCACATTAATTGTTATCATAATTTCAACCCGTGCGGTAGTTTTGAGAAGATGGCATCATTTTCTCAAATTCTCAACCAGGACTTGGAACAAGGAAAATTAATGGCGGCCGTAAATTCTCGGAAATAAAGGTCCAAAAACTGCGAGTTCTAATGTTCGTAATAGACTGAAATTTGCCAAGATATCTAGGAAAGACCTATTGTGTACGAAAATGTAAAAACATGGATATCGAGAATTTCATCAAAGTAGCTCTTTAAACAGAGCGGTTTTCAATTGAGGGTAATAAATCAACATTTAAAGCAAGCAATCGGATATAGGCAATGCAACCAGCGCAAAGCGCGGAAAATCTGGTGTGTGCGATCACCATTGGTTTTGGCTCTACTTCTTGAGAAAGTGGTGGAATTTTCTTTATGTTATTGTTGTTATTTTTTTTAATCAATCTATAAGCGTACGTAAACAATGCAAATCCAAAACATTTTCGACATCCAAGCTCTAACAAAAATCGCACGTACGATCGCAGGTTCGGCTTTTCAAGTAGCATTTTCTATTTCATACAAATGGACACACGATGACGCTACAAATAATCAGTATTTTTGGGCTTTGTTAAACACAAGAGATACTCACTCTGCCTGGCTTGCCCTTTGCAAAGGTAATCCGCAATTCGAACTTTCAGTAGAGGTACCACGTTTCTTTGAAGCTGGCGCTGAGAAGACAAACAATTGGCACCAAACTACTGCGATACAACGTTGTACTTGTTACAGTTTTCTTTTAATCCTCGGTCTTGAATGACCACAAACTTTCCAATAACGTCTAACTTCTCGCTATTAAAACACACCCATGCCAATAATCGCGCGTTCCGCAAAGGTGCTTTCCCATGACTGACAAAAAAGTTTGTTGCTGTAATGATTTTGCGCTAGTCAAAGCTACGGTTAGACAAGAGGGAAGTCAAAATTCTACAATGTAAGGCAGTATGGTAAAATACAAACAACAGTCATTTGAATTCACAGTTTGGTCTGCTCCCAATTTACGCACCAGTGTAGCTCAATTGTTAACGCAACCCTTGAAGCCCCGAAGATTTTTTCAAGAGTTTTTTATATCTTTTTTCATCATTGTTTAAATTGCAACACAATTACCAGGATCATGACTTCACCTCACTCTATATTCAGTTGATATCTGATTCCATTGAATTGATACACATCACTTGCCACAAGTTTAACAACATTGATAATTGCTGAGTTACCTGTTCTTCCTCTTGTTCTTTCCAAACACGTTCAAACTTGCTCTGTAATTCCGCACATTTTCTCTCCTGTAACGAGCGCTGGTAATCTTCTAAGGCTCGCACTTGCCGCTCATTGAGACACTCCTGAAAGGGGAAAAATGATTTTCAACGTGAGAGTAGTCTAGCGGTGGCTTTCAAGGAAATAGAGCCACTTAAAAACTACAAAAACATGAAGTTTTACTCCCTCGGATCAACATTTCATATTTCCACATGTTTGCGATTGTTTGTTGCTTTTCATAGACACATTTACAATGCACAACGTTCATGTCCTCAGCTTGAAATTCTTTTATCCGACGCCCGATAAAGTTAAACGTAATGTAAATCTCTAAAAAGAAACTGTTACTCAAACTGCAGGTAGCCTTTGACTATTATATGGCTGATTTATTTTTGAAATAAATCAGTGTCACAACAGTTCACAGTTGTCAACAAGGTGATTATAAGTAAAAACAGAAAGCATGACAGGAACACTAACTTTGACTGAGTCAGGATCGGAAGCCTGGGTAAGAGTTTCATAAATTTCCTTCCCGTCATGCAAGTCTTTCAAATCACGTGATGAAAACGAACGGCGTCGGAACCTCGCGGATCTTCTCTTTTCTGTAATTAACAACAACAACAACAGTGTCCTTAAGCGTCTGTCGTAGAAACTGGAATTTTCTTTGGCTTGAAGGACTAATGATCTAATCTGTTTAACAGTGGTTGTTAAGTTCATTGTTGGACTTCCATAATCTACTTGCGAGTGTAAGTGACAGTATATCAAATTAGTATAAATTAATTAGCTAACCGAGCGACATACCGACCGTCTGACCGCCCGCTCGACGTCACACAAAGAACAAAAGTTAAATTTGACCGGAGTTGTATATGACTAACCTGGCAGTTGGCATTCTTTTTCAAACTCTTCCTGTATTTTCAGAAACAGCTTTTCCCTTCGCTTCTGTCGATCTGCTTCAAACTTTTTGGCTTCTCTTTCCTCAAGCCGAGAGTTGCGAAAAACATTGGTACCATCGGACATCTTTTCCATCCACTGTGAATATAAATAGACAACACGGATGTGAGTTACTGGCAGAAAAAACTCAACTATGGTGTTTATTAATTACATAACATAATGTTCTCTCTTACAAACCTTTGATTCGATGAAATACCAGCTTTAGCTTTAACCATATCACTTGTCAGTATTCCTACCTGCACAGGATACTGCCTCAAAACGATGACGTCAACACAGCCTGTGAATCCTCCATCACCAAACAAAGAGGCCAGCGGTAATGGAAACGCACGCGCGTGGCTATGGAAACCAAGTTTCACATCCCATCGTGCACGCCGGGTGGAGTTGGCATGAAGCCGCAGCATCAATGACGAGGGAGCCTGTTAGAAAACAGAATTACGAGTCACTTTGGGCGAAAACTGGTGAATGCCCAATAGGTGATTTCTGTCCACTAACAAAGCACTCACGACTGCATCTTCTTGAATACTAAACGAATGGTTCCTACGTTGTGTCATGGACAGGAGGGTACTGCCGAGAACAAGCAATGGTGAATATGCCCTACAAGTAGCAAGCATATGGCATGGGCCAATATCTCAGCACCTCTGTCAAAATTGTAAACATTTCATGGATGAAAAAATTCCACAAGGACCAACGGCATATTTTACGACCATCCCTTAACCCTTGTCGCCTTGTGTACATATTCACTGAGCCACAACTGTACCTCTAAAGGGGACACAGCCTGTTCAGACCCTATCAGTTCGGCTCCATACACGAACAACTTTTGCCCAACAACAATCTTTCCGTCATGTAACAGTCTTGTAAGTGGTCTGTCCAATGTGGCTCGAATACCATACCAGCCATCAGTAACCTCTATGATTGCACAACTCTAAAATTCAAAAACAAACGGAAACGTTTTCGATTTACTAACAGTCGTCAGAAAACGGAAAAATAACCAAAGACGCCTGCTTTTAAATTTGTGGACTTCTTTCACA